AAGGGATGCCCGAGGGGTGATGCAGGAGGGATGTTTGGGGGTCGGGGTGCTTGGGGATGGAGATGCGGGAGGGGTGCCGAGGGGTTGGGGTGTAGGAGGGTTGCTCAGCGGGAGGAATGCAGGAGAGGGCTTGGAGTAAGGGATGCCCGAGGGGTGATGCAGGAGGGATGTTTGGGGGTCGGGGTGCTTGGGGATGGAGATGCGGGAGGGGTGCCGAGGGGTTGGGGTGTAGGAGGGTTGCTCAGCGGGAGGAATGCAGGAGAGGGCTTGGAGTAAGGGATGCCCGAGGGGTGATGCAGGAGGGATGTTTGGGGGTCGGGGTGCTTGGGGATGGAGATGCGGGAGGGGTGCCGAGGGGTTGGGGTGTAGGAGGGATGCTCGGAGGGAGGAACGCAGGAGGGATGCTCGGTGGTCGGGGTCCTTGGGCATGGAGATGGGGGGGGGTTCAGGGGTTGGGATGTAGGAGGGATGCTCGGAGGGAGGAACGCAGGAGAGGGCTCAGGGTGAGGGATGCCTGAGGAGTGATACAAGAGGAATGTCTGGGGGTCGGGGTGCTTGCGGATTGGGGTGTGGGAGGGATGCTCGGAGGGTGGGATGTAGGAGAGATGCTTGGGGATGGGATGCAGAAGGGATGCTTGAAGGGAGGAACGTAGGAGGAGGCTCGAGCTAAAGGGTGTTTGAGGGCTAGGATGCAGGAGACATGCTCACGGGAGGGATGCGGTAAGGATGCTTGGGGACTGAGGTGTTCAGGGATTAGGATCTAGAAAGGGTGCTTGGGGATTGGGATGCAGAAGGGATGCTCGAGGAAAGGATGTGGAAGGTTTGGGGTAAGGGATGCTCAGGGTGAGGATGCAGGTGGAAGGCTTGGAGGGAGGGATGCTCAGGAGCTGGGATGTAGGAGAGATGCTTGAGGACTGGGATGCAGAAGGGATGCCCAAGGAAGGGATGTCTGGGAGTCGGGATGTGGGAGAGATGCTTGGGGGTTGGAATGCAGGAGGGATGCCTGGATATCAGGGTGTTTGGGGATCGGGATGCAGGGGGGATGCTTGGATATCGGTGTTTGGGGATCACGATGCAGGAAGGATGCTTGGGGATGGGGATGCTTGGGGGTTAGGGTGCTGGGGGTCAGGAAGCAAGAGGAGTGATGCTTGGGGATGGGGATGCAGGAGGGATTCTTGGAGGGAGGGATGAGGCAGGGATGCGCAGCATGAGGGTTGCTTTGGGGTCAGAATGCGGGAGAGATATTTGGAAGCTGGGATACTTGGAGGGAGGAGAAGGAAAGGGGCTCAAGGGACAGAAGGCAGCAGGGACGCTTGGGGATCAGGATGCTCAGGGGATGGGATGCGGGAGATATGCTCAGATTAAAGGGTGCTTGTGGATTGGGAGGCAGGAGGGATGTCCTGGGTCAGGATGCTTGGGGATCAGGCTGCAGGAGGGGAGCTTGGAGAGATGCAGGAGGGTTGCTGGGTGAGTGGGTGCGTGTGCATTCCTCCAGTGCCTCCAGGACTCGGCAAAACCCAGTTTGCCAGGCAGAGTCTTGCTCCGAGAAACTGGCCAAGTTGGCTTCAGGTTTTTCTCCAGGAAAGCTGACCCAGAGAGAGATGCCTAGAGATGATCCCATCCCATAGGGAGCCCAAAGGCCCTAAAAGTGCAAGTCAAATTCAGGACATTCTGGATCCCAATCCATTCAGGTTAAGTTTACCGTGGCTTGGACATTGGCGGTATTGCTGAAGAATAAAAGCAGGGATTGGCCTGTCATATATTTGCCGCTTTCTTAAGGTTCTCAAAAGCTTTGAGAACTTAACACCTCAAACAAAAAGAGTGTAGCAAGAGGCTGAATTTTTCACCTGGGAAGTGGGTTCCAAAATGCCTTGGACACCTTGTGGCATAATCAGTAAAGTTTGCCATCGTCTGCGTTCGCCTTCCTGCTTTCTGCGTTGGCTGATACAAAGCCAAATGTGTGTGGGATGGCAGGAAATTGAGGTCTAAAATGAGTGGTGTATCCCATTGTTCTGAAGGCACCATCAAAACACTGGAGATCTCTGCATCTCCAAGCAGTTAGGCAACGTCTGATGAATCCCAGCCAGTGTCAGTTAGCATCAGTTCTTGGTCTGGTATGCTTTGGTAAATAGGACATGCTTTTTGATTGAGCTATATCCACGGGTTTTATTTCTATACACAGATACAAGCAGACAGGAATCTGAAGAAAGAGTGATGTTTGTGCTATAAATATCTCCAAGAAAACAACAAGCCTTCCGGAGTAGATGTATTTACAGTCTCAGGGGATGATAATAAAAAGGGCATTGGTCTGAAGGTCAGAGTGGGATCCAGGCTCTCCTAGTATCAACCTCTGGGGCAGTAACGTAGCACGGCCCTGGCTGAGATCTGTGGCTAAGGAGAAAAGCTGCTGAGGAATAAACAGAAGATGTGTTCATCTAGGGGTGTGAGGAGGAGAGACTGTCCCGGGAAAACCTTGTCTGCTGCAGGCAGGACAAAGCTTTTGGTCATCTGGTGCCACACGTATTAGAGAAGTTAAAAAGCAACTGGGATGGTTGGTGCTGGTGTTAGCG